ATATCATTAATCGATGATTTGGAAACAGCATGGAGTGTTTGTTGTTGAAAGCCACACTCAGCAGTGTTCCAGCTACATGGCGACGGTCTGGAAATAATCGAGTCTGGACTAGACAACCCAGTGATCAACATCATGAACATTGATCTAAGCAATCGGGACACGATGATATGTGTCAATCAAGTCAGCGAACCTGACTACGCGATACCGTCAGTCGTCTCGTACGACATGCATGGGTTGCTAAAGACTAATTGTAGCCCAGGTATTCATGGGTGAAACAGCATGGATATGTTTTCGATCTAAAAATCCTATCACGTATGACTCCAGTAGCAGTTATATTAGACCTACCAAAGGATCAAACTGCATACCTGTTAGAGCAACTGTACGAACGGTCTAGTTCTATTATTTCTTTTGTTAATCTGGTGCCAATAGTAGGGCCGCGGTATTTTGTTGATAAATAGTTCCATTCACGCAGGATTCAAACATTAGGGGAAATGTTTTGGAAACAATTCCGACGTCATGTGTACTTTTAAAGATGGAAGATTTAGTGTTCGTAATGTCTGATGGTGGATTGGTAGAAGGGCTCTCATACCGTTCGCTGCTTGCGCCGAAGACAATATTGGTAAGTGAGTGAGTTTAGTTTTACACCACTTTTAGCAATATTCCAGGAACATCACGGCGGGGGACACCAGAAATGGGCTTTACACATTGTACCCATGGGGGGAATCGAACAATTCGGCGCTACGAGTGAACGCTTTAACCACTAGGCTACCCCCGTCTACATTGGTAGTGTTTGAATCCCATTTCTGGCGTGGAATATAACTAAAACCCCAGCTCTTACAAATCATATGTGAGTTATATATAACTGTCTTCTCAGTTAATGTGGGGTAGTGGGGAAGCCTAGCGGTTAAAGCGATTGCTCGTCACGACGAAGGCCCTGCCTTGGTCCGATACCCCACATGGGTACAATGTGTGAAGCTCATTTCTCGTGTCCGGCGCTGGGATACTGCAGGAATATTTTTATAGTGGCGTAACCTAACTCACTCACTCACTCACTCTAGCTTAATGTAGAGTTAAAACCAACAAAGAAAATGTAATACTACAGGTAAAGAAGGCGGCTCTACTTCTTAAGATCTGGTTTTGAAGTATGTAAGTCATGTTATGATCATGAACATTTCAGTAAGACATCTGAAAACATGTTTAAAAACTTAATTCCTATATGTGTTTCTTTTCACCAGGGAAACATGAAGATGTTTTCTTTCTTTACACTGTCCATTGTGGCTGCGATCCTGATGTGTGAAGTCATCGTCGAAACCGAGGCTCAAGGGAGGATCAGCTGCAACGCCGGGTCCCAAGTGATAACGTTCTGCACCAGTTGCCCATCACACACAATGTGTGAAAGGAAATCTGATGCGGCAGGAAACTGCTTCTTTGAATGTGCAATATCCGAGTTCGTCTAGTGAATTCAGTCCTTCAACTGATCTTTTTCTCGACTTTGGACATAACGTCTCACCCTGTCGTAACGTGGTCTCACTGCTCTTGGGATTATGTGGTTGGTGTAGACTTGACATGGACACTTGACTTTATTCCAAAATAAATTCTGCACAGCAAAAGTTTTTGGTTTTGTGTTCCTTTAAATGCGGTGGTGGTGGTGGTGGTGGTGGTGTGTGTGTGTGTGTGTGTGTGTGTGTGTGTGTGTGTGTGTGTGTGTGTGTGTGTGTGTGTGCGTGTGCGTGCGTGTGCGTGTGCGTGCGCGCGCGTCCGCGTGCGTGCGTACGTGTGTGTGTGTGTGCTTTCATAGAAGGTTTGTGACTTATTTAACGGACAATCAGCACATGGAGTCACCGCTGATCCCATGTTCGTGTAAAACTGTGCTTTGTACTCTTCGTTCTCAGTCGACCCAGGTAACAGGCGTTGTGATAAGAGTCCGATGTGAAACTGAGACATTGTGTAATCTGTCTGTAGTCATTAGCTGTTAGATTGAGTTACGTTGTACATATGGTTTCAGCTGAGAATCAGAGAGATGTTTGCCTAACACGAAACACATTATTGTTTCAAATAAATATCTAGTCTAAATGTTTTGGACTGCGCAATAGGCTGTTGCTTTCGTTCAGTGGAAAACACTCTAATAGTTTTATGTTCAATGGGTTTGAGAGAAATTGTTCTGCACATGAAGTTTACATTACATATGATCCGGGTTAGGAGTTTACATAACATCAGTTATTCGCACAGTTCACTCACATGAGCAACAAACAGTAGAAATCAGGCGATGGCAATCACACTGGCAAGATGTTCCAGCAGAGGAGAAACCATCGTGTTTGTTGGCAACACTGGACTTCGCAAAAGAAGATCTTTATCCAAATATCCATGTTGCCCTCAACACACTTGTGACAATGCCAGTGTCTTCGGTAACTGCTGGGCGTTTCTTCAGCGCAATGACACGTGTTAAAACGTATCTCAGGTCAACATTGGTAACGGAACGGCTTAACGCACTTACACTGCTTCATATTCACAGCGATTTTGATGTCAACTTTGATAAGGTGGTGGATGATTTTGCAGAAGGGAAAAACCGCAAAATAGGACTTCTCTTCAGGTAGAGCTGATGCATACAGTAACCTTAAGCTGTGCTTACAATTGAAATTTTCCTGGTTACGCCCCTGGAGGCAACGTGAAGATGTCTACTGAGTGAGTTGGATTTAAGGCCGCTTTTCCAGTACTTCTGATACACCATCAAATGTCTGCTTAAAGTGGTGGGAGGAAATCCCGAAGTGATGAATGTCGAAGACATTGGTTTGTGTGTGCCCATAGGGTACTTTAGGAATGAATAATGAATGCAAGCTCTTCACCCATTTAATGAACAGACATTTGGTAAACTTGAGGAAAATAGAAATGCAGGCTTATCCCCCTTTTAATAAGGAACATATTGAACTTTAGGGAAAATAACAAATAAAGCTTTTACCCGAGAGAACAGTCCTGCGGCTTCCACGTTTTCTATCCAGGTAAGTAATCGAGTCCAGTCGGTTAATTTGTACTGTACATTAAGCCATGGAGCGGCTAAGATCAAGTTTCCATACGAATTGTGCATTTGATGATAAAAGCAACAAAAGTGATCATCATATAATAAAAACATGTCTGAAATAAGTTCAGATATGGTGTCATCTCAAATTTTGCGCTTGTGCGCATGCGAAGTACATAAACTATGGCATACTATTTTCAACGTTTCCCCTTAATTATTTAGTATAGCCAATCAGTAAACACATATACTTTTTCACCTATACACATATAGTTATTTGCAGTTACATGCAAAGACAAAATATACATAATTTTAAAATGATAGAAAACAATAAGTACTCCCGCTCCCCAAAATAGCACAAAATGAAATTATACTGAGTCAAAAAAGAAACTTCACATTCTTTCTTCAGGGCACTATAAAAGAACAAGAGATGGTAAGATGGTTAAATTGTTATTATTTCATTGCTGAGATCTGTGTGATGTACCGATACACTGACAGTGCCATAATCAGTTCCATTAGGCTACACCGCCGTTCCAAAACATGGGTATACAGAATGTCAAGTCACAAGAACAAAAATGCGAAATTTCTCAGTTCAATATCGTGTATGGCCGCCCCGCGCATTCACCACTGCCAAACACCGTCTCCTCATCGACTGCCTGATGCTTGTGAACACGTGATGGGGATTCTGCGCCATTGCTCTTGCAAGGCAGCGCCAAGTTCCTGCAAATTCTGAGGTTGGTTCCTAAGACCACGAAGCCTTCTCCCAAGTGCATCCCAAACGTGCTCTATTGGATTAAGGTCAGGGGGCCTCGATGGCCAGTCCATGACGTTGATTCCAGCGTTTTGAAGGAAATTTCGTGTCAACATCGCGGTATGCGGCCGAGCATTATCATGCTGGAACTGTAGACCTGGGCCATGAGCCGCCATGAAAGGAACGAGTTCAGGGGTGAGCACCTGGTCGCGGTAAGCAGCAGCTGTGAGGTTTCCACGGATGACCAGAAGTCGGGAACGGTTGTTCCCACAGAAAGCACCCCACACCATGCAACTTCCGCCCCCGAATCTGTCGACTTCCTGTACACAACATTGGGCATACCGTTCACGACGTCGTCTCCAGACTCTACGCCTGCCGTCCGCGAATCTGAGGGTAAACCTGGATTCATCGTTAAAGACGACTCGATTCCAGTCTCTCTGGGTCCATCGGAGGTGACGTTGCGCCCACAGCAGACGTTGACGTTGATGAAACGGCGTCAATATTGGCCCACGATATGGACGTCGAGAATGGAGATTGGCAGCCCGCAACCGATTTCGAATGGTCTGTGAGTACAGTCGAACGCTAAACATCTCAGCCCTGGTTCGTGTTGCCGGCAGAAATCTGTCACGTAGGTGACGTAGGACGATTTGACGGTCTTCTGCTCGTGACGTCACACGTGGACGACCCGACCTTGGGCGATCAGAAGTGGTGCCAGTTTGTTGTAGACGACCTCGCAAGTCATACACAGTACGACGGCTGCATCCCATTGCTCTTGCGACGTCAATAATTGATCTTCCCGCTAGCAACATGCCAACGGCGCGTTCACGTTGCAGATTTGACAATCGTGGCATTTCAAGTACCGTTGGAACTGTGGTTTAAAAGTGTTTCTTCAATTCTTGAGGCCAATGCAAACACGTGCATATGAAGAAAACTGCGATGCGAAGATCACGTGATCGACTGCACGTGCAAAACCTGATTTGGCACTAACGTCATTTGCACGACGAATGGATGGGTTTGAGTGGGTTTTGCTAACGTTTTTCTAGAGTCGAAAGATCAGAGAAAAATTATTCATTATTGTTCAAATTACATTTTGTGAAGTTTCTTTTTTGACTCAGTATATTTTGAGAGCCTCCATATACTAAAATGTTCGTGTATGAATGTGCGAAATTTCATGCTTTCACCATTCAATGCACATTTTATCTGTTTAGCCGCTCCATTAGTATAGCCGAGCCGCGTTGACAGTGGGAGATCACAAGACGTGCGCTTGTAAAATGTCAACAACTGAAAAAACGTTGTGGTTGGCCTCAGAATCAATCGGTCATCTCCGACTTTTCCCGGGACTCATCGCCATGACGTCACGATTAACGCCCACAGCGCGTACCACATATATAAAAGCTTCAGCATTTCGACGTGGAGCAAACACGCCCGAACCAGATCGACTTCAACAGCGTTCTTCGTAATAGCGTAAGTAGTATGTTGTTTCTCTTTTCCTCGGCATGCAAACTCAAGGGGTCCACTGCCTGTTCTTTGTGTGTGACCAGCCCAACTGTAAATCAGTGCTTGGAATCGGAACTTCATTGTATCATTGCACTTCCCCTTCATGCCAGTCAGACATGCAAATGCCAATGTTGACATTTCTAAAGACCCATATGTCAAATGTATAGCAGGGCAGTATCACGAGTGAGTTGACGATTTGGTCTACGTCACACAAACAGCGTGGCCGGTAGTGGCATTTGATGTGGCGTAATGCTGACAAATAGGCAACGCTATTCAGTACGACAAAAAGTGAACGGTAATCTCTTTTATGTGCATGTAAATGTAATGATTCAGAAATCCTTATCGGAGGGCTGAGGAATGAGTTGCTATTTAATCCGATACTGTTTTTCCCTATCTTAAACAAAGTTGTTTGCCTGAAGTATTCACACATCCATAATCGTGGGTACTGACTTTTTAAGTTACACTTTTGTCGACCCGTGAATGTCCGGGTTAGAATATTGATCTTCAGTAACCAATGCTTGTCGTAAGAGGCGACTAACGGGATCGGGTGGTCTGGCTTGCTGACTTGGTTGACATATGTCATCGGTTCCCAATTGTGTAGATCGATGCTCATGCGGTTGATCACTGGATTGTCTGGTCCAGATTCGATTATTTGCAACCCGCCGCCATATAGCTGGAATATCATTGAATCCGACAGCCATTGCACTTTGAAATCACTTGTAATCCATGCTTCCAAGAAAGGGATCATCCTGGTTATCTTTGTCCCTAATAGGGTCTAACATACAGGGATTTTACTTGTACCTCTTCAAAATCTTGAAATCAGCTAGGATATTCAGAAAAAAAAAATTCACATGCATTCAAACGCTATTGTTACTGTCACTGTCACTGTTGGAAATATCGGTAACTGGCTTGGGCGTACGGTATAAAGCAAAAAAATGGACGAAGTGAAAACAATCGATCTTTAATTATTTCATACACAGGTCTGCGAATAAACAACGAAAACGGACTCACAGCAAAATAAATGAAAGTACCGAAATGCACACATTAAACGCAATCAATAGCACAATAGTATATTACAGATGGGTTCACTTTAAGGTAAAATAATTTCTTTCTCATTGTAGTGAACTCAGTTTGTAATATACTCAGCAGCAAAAAAAACGACAGAACGAATTCAAAATTTGATAGGACAGCAGTACCGCGTCTATGCACGGAGTGCACCAATCGATTGATGAAGGACATTGGCACCTGGAACCACGCTCTGAGAAAGGCCTGGAGCAATAAATCGGCTGTGGTCGGCCTTGGTATGACATTATTCAGTCTCCTCTGAATTTCATCCCAAAGATGTTCAATTGGGACCAAGGGTCACTGCATAATGTTGACACCGATTTTCTGTACCGTGTAGCTCTGGCAGTATAGGCCCGAGCGTTATCATGCTGGAAAATGTTGTTCCGGTGACTGGCGAAATGTGGTATGACGTGGGGTCTGAGAGCTTGGTCGATGTAGCGCACCGCTGTTATGCCGCCTCCTCTCCCTGGATCAAGGTTCTGGAACACCACAGGACCCACTCTCTGGTTCAGGCCTATTCCACCCCATACCATGATGCTTCCACCTTCCAGTGAGTCTCTTTCCATAACACATTGGTCTGAGTAACGCTGGCCTCGTCGTCGCCATATTCGTGTTCTGCCATCTGCATGTGATACGCAGTACGGACTCTCATCTGTGAACAGAACAGTTTTCCATTGTCTGTATCGCCAGGTTTGGTGTTCTAGGGCACACTGTAGACGTTCACGCCGATGATGAGGGGTGAAGATAGGTCCACGGTAAGGTCTACGGCATTGGCGGAAAAGGTGGAAAGTTCTAGGCACTATTCGTTGATTTTGCAAAGGCTTTCGATTCTGTGCAGCGGGATAAACTATGGACACTTCTACAATCGCACGGGCTTAGTAGTAAATGAATAAAATGTTGAAGAGTATATACGAAAATGTTAAAGTGTGTGTCAGGAATCAGCATGAATTATCTGAACCTTTCATTAGTGAACTAGGTGTTAGACAAGGCTGTATTCTAAGCCCTTTCCTTTTTACGTTTTTCATTAATGAATTAGCAATACAAATATGTGACACATGTACGAATGGGATTCAACTACACCCAGATACAATACAACTATTTCTGCTACTCTTTGCCGATGATATTGTACTATTCTCTAGTACCGTTAGCGGTTTACAGAAACAAATAGATGAATTAGACAAATTTTCTGACCAATATAAATTGTGTGTAAACAGAGACAAAACCAAAATTATCGTCTTTAAGAAAGGTGGAAAGCTCTCTAAATTAGAAAAATGGTATTAGAAAGGGCAACTACTCAAAACTACCAGTGTTTATAAGTATCTTGGTGTATATTTTTGTAATAGCCTTTCCTGGTCCAAACACACAAAACAAGCGTCAGCACAAGCCTTGAAAATCTTAATCGGTGTTTGTAAAAATATGAGATCGTTGGGTGAAATGTCCTTTAACACATTCTTTAAAATATTAGATATGAAGATAAGTCCAATACTTCTATATGGCTCTGAAATATGGGGATTACAACAATATGACAGTATGGAAAGAGTTCATATATATGCATGCAAAAAGTTTCTTGGCGTAAAACCGAACACATGTAATAGGATGGTTTACGGAGAATTAGGTACATTCCCTTTGTTTATATACTCTTCCATTAAAGCCATAAAGTATTGGGTAAGATTACTGCATATGCCATGCCATAGGTTTCCGAAAAAATGTTATGATATGATGAAATTGTATGATGAAAATGGGAAAAGAAATTGGGTGAGTGATATTAGGGAGTTGTTGTACAAAACTGGTTATGGTTATGTGTGGTGTGATCACAATGTTCAGTTGCATACCAATTTTATCATATCATTTACGCAAAGAATGAAAGATATCTATTTCCAGTCTTGGTCGGAATCACTACTTCTATCCACAAAATGTTTATACTATAATCAATGGAAATCGGACATACGTTTTGAAGACTATTTAGCAAAAATCGGCGTAAAGAAGTTCCGTATAGCTCTCTCTCGTTTTCGTTGCTCTTCCCATGAAGAATTTATTGAAACTGGCAGGTATGCAGGTATACAAAGAGAAAACAGAATATGTCAGTTATGTAATATGAGTACTGTTGAGGATGAACTACATTTCCTTCTTATCTGTCCTGTTTATACGACTCTACGAACGAACTACTTAAAGCCATACTATGATAAGCATCCAAGTGTAAGAAAATTAATTTCACTATTAACAGATACTACCACATCACTATTACAGAATCTGGCAATGTACATCTATTTCGCTATGAGATTAAGAAAAAGTATTGTTGCAGAAAAGAATTTTTCAAATGACTTCTATCTACTCATGTAAACTCTAAATGTACTACAGGCCTGTGGCCTTTTTAAGTACTGAAATAAAGATTGATTGATGTCCGTTATCACATGTACTTTGTTGAGAGAAAGAAGGGTACGTTTTAATCCTTCATCCCTCTCATACCAAGGCAACCCCAGTGCGCCAATGATCATTTTTTACTCGCGGATAAGAAAATGACTACAATGTGCAAAGGCCGAAGGCGAGGCAAGCTCTGCTGAGGTGTTCAAACCCATATGGGCATCTTGTTTTACTTGGGAGCGAACCTCTCTGCATGAAGGTTGCACTTGCTCCTCTGTACTTTACATTTCAGCTGTTTATAACCGTAAGAAAAGACGTTCGGTATTTAAGGGCATTTCAGCTTAATTTTGTATCAAAACCAAGGTTGTAGACTTCTACCGATTTAATTTAACTGCCGAACAGGCATGGTCCGAACGTTTCAAGGACACAAACCGGCGATCTCAGATCGAGCAATGTATGCAACTATGCACGGTAACGATGGAACCTTTGATGACAAGTGTGAATCGTTACACGCGTGAATCAAGGAGTTCTATGCGACAACGGACATTGAACTCATGGTTGGAAGAATCGAACTTCTCGTCAAATTATTTGGAAATGTTAGGAATAACCACATAGTCGTTCAAGACGTACGGATTTAATGGTTGTAATTTAAAAATACAAATTAACTGTGAAAGCCTACTAAAAGGGCGTTTGGGCTGAAGAGTAAATTGTGCAATGAAAGTCGACAGGCATCGTGTTTGTTTTACTTTTGTTCCCGGAAAACAGAGTTGTCACTGCAATATATTTGAATGGTTTGCACAGACAATGGACAAAACAGCACGTATGCCCATGTTAACTATGCATCCTTTTGGACATGGTGTGTACCTTCTTTGCTGCGGGTAAAAGATTAGTAATGCGTTTATTTGTTACATGGTTATTCAAACAACAGATCCGTTAAAAACAATAATTTCCTTGTGTATTTACTTTTTCAACAGGCAAACATGAGGGGATTTGCTTTCGTTGCACTCGTCTTTGTGGCTGTGGGGTGCTTGGGGAGTGACGTCATGGCCCAGTCAACAACAGAAATCAGCTGCTACGCCCCTATCTCAGATCGATTGACTTTTTATATAAACTGCAGGAGACGAGGCGAGACAATGTCCTTCATAGGTAGTGGCTCGCCAGGGGACTGTTTCTGGGTGTGCTGAAACTACCTGACCTTTCAGGACTTCTCGTAGATGTCTTCATAGGAGAGTTGTCTCAAATTGAAGTCAGGAATATTTAGAATATGCAGTTCAATAAATACTGCGCAGCTTATATCGTGTGTCTCTGGTTGCATTAGTGCATGTATCCTCCTTCTGTTGCTTCACATCAATCAAATGTAGAACCTTTATTACGGCCGCATGCATTGGTAACTTGCCGAACCCGACCCTCTCAGCATATACAAATACACCCTGACCAAAACGCAAGACAGATTGTTATTCATCTCATGGCGTGTCAAGTTAAAGTGGGAGGAAGGATTGAATAGATGCAGGTACCAGACGTTTACTCCTCGCCAGAACACGAAGCTGACAAACCAAGACACAGTCCAGGCCACAAAACACAGACCTGACAAACCAAGACACAGTCTAGACCACAAAACATGGAGCTGACAAACCAAGACACAGTCTAGGCCACAAAACACGGGGCTGACAAACCAAGACACAGTCTAGGACACACAACACACAGCTGACAAAAAAAAAAAAAGTCCAGGACACAAAACATGGAGCTGGCAAACCAAGACACAGTCCAGGCCACAAAACACACAGCTGACAAACCAAGACACAGTCTAGGCCACAAAACACGCAGCTAACAAACCAAAACACAGTCCAGGCCATAAAACACGGATTTGACAAACCAAGACAAAGTCCAGGCCACAAAACACTCAGCTCACATACCAACACACAGACCAGGCCACACAACACGGAGCTGAGAAACCAAGACACAGTCCAGGCCACACAACACATAGCTGACAAACCCAGACACAGTCTAGGCCTTAAAACATGGAGCTGACATACCAGGACACAGTCTAGGCGCACAACACAGAGCTCACAAACCAAGACACAGCCCAGGCCACAAAACATGGAGCTGACAAACCAAGACACAGTCTTGGTCACAAAACATGGAGCTGACAAACCAAAACAGTCCAGGCCAGAAAACACAGCCCTCATAAACCAAACCACAGTCTAGGCCATAAAACACGATGCTGCAAAACCAAGACACAGTCTAGGCCACAAAACGCGGAGCTGACAAACCAAGACACAGCCCAGGCCACAAAACACAGGGCTGACAAACCAAGTCACAATCCAACCCACAACACACAGCTGACAAACCAGGACACAGTCTCGACCACAAAACACGGAGCTGACAAACCAGGATACAGTCCAGGGCTCAAATAACACAGTTCACAAACCAAGACACACTCTAGGCCCTAAAACAGGGAGCTGACAAACCAGGACACAGTCTAGGCCACAAAACGCGGGGCTGACAAACCAAGACACAGCCTAGGCAACAAAACACACAGCTGACAAACCAAGACACAGTCTAGGCCACAAAACATGGAGCCGACAAACCAAAACAGTCTAGGCCACAAAACACGGAGCTGACAAACCAAGATACAGTCTTGAACACACAACAAACAGCTGACAAGCCAAAACAGTCCACGGCACAAAAGACGGAGCTTACAAAACAAAAACAGTCTAGGCCACAAAACTCGATGATACAAAACCAACACACAGTCTAGGCCACAAAACACACAGCTGAAAAACCAAGATACAGTCTTGAACATACAACAAACAGCTGACAAGCCAAAACAGTCCACGCCACAAAAGACGGAGCTTACAAAACAAAAACAGTCTAGGCCACAAAACACGGTGCTGACAACCCAAGACACAGTCTAGGCAACAAAACACAACACACAGCTGACAAACCAGGACACGGTCCAGGCCACAAAACACACAGCTGACAAACCAAGACACAGTCTAGGCCACAAAACACAGACCTGACAAACCAAGACACAGTATCGGCCACAAAACACGGGACTGATAAACCAGGACACAGTGTAAGCCACAACACACGGAGCAGACAAACCAAGACATAGTCCAGGCCACAAAACACACAGATGACCAAACAAGCAGCACTCCAAGGCCACAAAACACACAGCCGACAAACCAAAGCAGTCTGGGCCACAAAACATGGAGCTGACAAACCAAAACAGTCCAGGCCACTAAACACAGACCTGATGAACCAAACCACAGTCTAGGTTCAAAAACACGATGATGGAAAACCAAGACACAGTCTTGGCCACAAAACACAGGGCTGTCAAACCAAGACACAGTCCAAGCCACACAACACGAAGCTGACAAACCAAAACCGTCTTAGCCACACAGCACACAGTTGACAAACCAGGACACAGTGTAGGCCATAAAACTTGGAGCTGACAAACCATGAAACAGTCTAGGCCACAAAACATGGTGCTGAGAAACCAAGATACAGTTTAGGCCACAAAACACACAGCTGACAAACCAAGACACAGCTCAGGCCACAAAACATGGAGCTGACAAACCAAAACAGTCCATGCCACAAAACACAGAGCCGCTAAACCAAACCACAGTCTAAGCCACAAAACCCGATCATGCAAAACCAAGACACAGTCCACACCCAAAAAGACGGAGCTGACTAACCAAGAAACAGTCTAGGCCACAAAACACGGGGTTGACAAACCAAGATACAGTCTTGACCACAAAACACCCAGCTAATATACCAAGACACTGACCAGGCCACACAACACGCCGCTGAGAAACCAAGACACAGTCCAGGCCACACAACACACAGCTGACAAACCAAGACACAGTCTAGGCCCTAAAACATGGAGCTGACAAACCAACTCACAGTCTACGCCCAAAACCATGGTGCTCAAAAACCAGGACACAGTCTAGGCCACAAAACACACACCTGACAAACCAAAACAGAGTCCAGGCCACAAAACACGGAGCTGCCAAACCAACAAACAGTCTAGGCCACAAAAAACGGTGCTGACAAACCAAGACACAGTCTAGGCCACAAAACACACACCTGACAAACAAGGACAAAGTCTGGGCCACCAAAAACGGGGCTGACAAACCAAGATACAGTATTGACCACAAAACAAACAGATGGCAAACCAAAGCAGTCTTGGCCACAAAACATGGAGCTGACAAACCAATCAGTCCAGGCCACTAAACACAGACCTGATAAACCAAACCACAGTCTAGGTCACAAAACACGATGATGGAAAACCAAGACACAGTCTTGGCCACAAAACACAGGGCTGTCAAACCAAGACACAGTCCAAGCCACACAGCACACAGCTGACAAACCAAGACACAGTCAAAGCGACACAACAAACATATGGCAAACCAAGACACATTCCTGTCTACAAAAGACGGAGCTGACACACTAAAAAACAGTCTAGTCCACAAAACACAGGGCTAACAAAATAAGATAGTCTTGAGCACACAACAAACAGCTGCCAAACCAAGACACAGTCCACGTCACAAAAGACGGAGTTGACACAAACAAAAAGCAATCTAGGCCACAAAACACGGTGCTGACACTGCAAAACACAGCCTAGGCAACAAAACACAACACACAGCCGACAAACCAAGACACGGTCCAGGCCACAAAACACACAGCTGACCAAACAAGCCACAGTCAAGACCACAAAACACACAGCTGACAAACCAAAGCAGTCTTGGCCACAAAAGATGGAGCTGACAAACGAAACACAGTCCAGGCCACAAAACATGGAGCTGACAAAGCAAGACACGGTCTAGGCCACAACACACGATGATGCAAAACCAAGACACAGTCTAGGCCACAAAACACGGAGCTGACAAACCAAGATACAGTCTTGGCCACACAACACACAGCTGACAAACCAAGACACAGTCCAGGCCACAAAACACGGAGCTGACAAACCAAGACACAGTCTAGACGACAAAACACGGAGCTAACAAACCAAGACACAGTCCAGGACACAAAACACACAGCTGACAAACCAAGACACAGTCTAGGCCACAAACCACGGAGCTGACAAACCAACACACAGTCCAGGCCTAAAAACAAGGAGCTGACAAACTAAGACACAGTCTTGAACACACAACAAACAGCTGACAAACCAAAACACAGTCCACGCGACAAAAGACGGAGCTCACAAACAAAAAACAGTCTAGACAACAAAACACGGAGCTGACAAACCAAGACACAGTCTAGGCCACAAAACACGATGATGCAAAACCAAGACACAGTCTAGGCCACAAAACACGGAGCTGACAAACCAAGATACAGTCTTGGCCACACAACACACAGCTGACAAACCAAGACACAGTCCAGGCCACAAAACACGGAGCTGACAAACCAAGACACAGTCTAGACAACAAAACACGGAGCTAACAAACCAAGACACAGTCCAGGCCACAAAACACACAGCTGACAAACCAAGACACAGTCTAGGCCACAAAACACGGAGCTGACAAACCAACACACAGTCCAGGCCTAAAAACAAGGAGCTGACAAACTAAGATACAGTCTTGAACACACAACAAACAGCTGACAAACCAAAACACAGTCCACGCCACAAAAGACGGAGCTCACAAACAAAAAACAGTCTAGACAACAAAACACGGAGCTGACAAACCAAGACACAGTCTAGGCAACAAAACACAACACACGGAGCTGACAAACCAAGACACGGTCCAGGCCACAAAACACACAGCTGACAAACCAAGACACAGTCCAGGCCACAAAACACACAGCTGACAAACCAAGACACAGTCCAGGCCACAAAACACGGAGCTGACAAACCAAGACACAGTCTAGGCCACAACACACGGAGCTGACAAACCAGGCCACAAAACACACAGCTGACAAACCAAGACACAGTCCAGGCCACAAAACACGGAGCTGACAAACCAAGACACAGTCCAGGCCACAAAACAACGGAGCTGACAAACCAAGATACAGTCTTGAACACACAACAAACAGCTGGCAAACCGAGACACAGTCTACGTCACAAAAGACGGAGCTGACAAACCAAAAACAGTTAATTCCACAAAACACGGTGCTGACAAACCAAGACACAGTCTAGGCCACAAAAAACGGAGCTGACAAACCAAGACACAGTCTAGGCCACAAAACACGGAGCTGACAAACCAACACACAGTCTAGGCCACAAAACACGGAGCTGACAGTCTAGGCCACAAAACACGGAGCTGACAAACCAACACACAGTCTAGGCC